GCTGGCTCCGTCGCTGTCTGACATAGAATTTCCGAGACACGCCAGAGACTGTCACTGCCCGTCAGCATGCCGACATCAGCGTTATGTCTTCACCTCTGACGTCAAGGAAACCCTCAACGCCCGCTCCAAAACCACGCAGATCTTCTTACAGATGTCGGGGATACCGGAGCAGCTGGTGGAGGAGCACCGCTCTTACCTGCTTATCAGCTTTCTAAGCGAGATGGGCGGCTTCATTGGAATACTACTGGGCATGTCCATCCTGTCCCTGGCCGACCTGTCAGCTGAAGTCCTCGCCTGGTGCAGAGCCACATTCCGAAAGAGCCCCGTGAACATCACGTCCCCTCCCGTCACGAAAGCCTGCTTCTAACCTGGCTGTCCGACTAGTTGAAGCCTTCAACAACCGAGGCCTACCGCTGATGAAGCGACAGCATCTTGCGACGTCTGGTGGTATGTGGTAAAGATCATGACTGGAGCCTCAAATTAAGGCTCGGGAAGCAGGTCTACGGTGGAGATTTTGAGACTGGGATGTCAAAAACCCTGTGTTGCGTACATTAACCGTATTCTTTAGATGGCCTGGAGAAAGTCAACGACTCCCATAGCTCTGTTACGTTACGTATGCGATGTCCCATGAACTTCTTGTAAGACAAAATGTGGCATCTCCTTAAAACCTGTAAAATACCTTTAGCATCACAAACACCAATCTCAAGCCATATCTGGATAAATAAAAATGGTCTGCACAAGGATGCAGGTCTGCGCGCCTTGTCACCTCACCAGCATCCCTCGCGCGCGTGTCGGGTGTGTTTTTGCGCACCCCTGGTCGATGACATTCTTAAGATTACCCAGGCTCTGAGGGCTTTCCCTGAAAGCTCGGGATAACTCGGGATATCAGCTACTCCGTGGGTAAAACCTAGAAGAGTCAGACATCGTGCCTTGCATCTAATTCCAGAGAGTGAGTCAGCCACAGCCTGTCCAGATGTCGTTGACACCGACACTTGTTCATCAAGGGAGGGGAAATATCAACATCTATATCCCCCGAGTCTAACCCCACCCTCGGCTACGTCAACGGGTTAACATCTGTCAACTGTTAACACTCTTGAATCAATCAGGCACACTGGCTGTGCAATTGTTTCTGCACACTCAAGACATCAATTTACATTATTTATTTCTGGCCCATGCCTGCAGTGCTGCGAGAAGAGCTGGCGTCGTTGACGCCCATGCACCATCACCTCAAGCCACATCACATTAAGTCACACCTCAGTAATGCACAGCGTGTACTCACTTGCCTTCTTTGTCGTTTCAGTACCTGCGCCAACTGACAGTCCCCCGCGTTTGGAGATATGTTCATCGTTGCCCAAGCTTTGCGACATGCTTTCGCTGGCTTGGTTTTTGCACATTTTGCTTCACCTACGTACATGGAAAGTGTTTCCCTGCTGAATGCCCAAACACACACCCCTCTCGCGCGCGCTGTGACCAAGAGCGGTGTCAGACGACCATGATGTGAATCGCCACCAAGGTTAAACCTGCCGTGTGGGCAAACGTCGAGGCGAACCGTGCAACCGTCCATGCTGTGCGTCTGGCTAAAGAAATGCGAGCAGACGGGCATACAGCCAGACGTACGCTGGAAAATTTGAGCATTGGATCGTAGTCTACTAAAAAGGACGCATGCAGCAAAATGAAGTAACAGAGTCGTTCTAAAAAGGGCTGTGGCAGGGGATGTGGCACATTCACATTACACGTTAAAGGAATCGTGTCTGATGCATTGTATACTAATCTACTTTATGAGTAGTTCTAGTAGTAGTTCTGGCTGATAGCTCTGATAGTTCAAATAGTTTCAGTAGAAAGTTCTAGTAGTGGTTCTGTCTAGTAGTTCCGTTCCATCGCAACTACGTGGCATTTGCTATTGATTTAACGAAATGTCCATATTGCATCGTCTATAGTATCAATAATTATTTGAGAGCAGGCGCTAGACAGAATGAAATAGAGTGGTTTGCTGACAATTCACCAGCAAGGTTCAACCAAGGCCCGGGCGGCCGTGTCCTAGCATTGTTTGGCCCGATTGAAATAGAATGGTCGGTTCACAATTCACCAGCAAAGCTCAACCAAGACCCGGGCGGCCGTGTCCTAGCATTGTGCGGCACGTATAATTCTCTGCGTTGTTGTCCAACGAAACAGCGGAGGGAAAGTTGTGCGATGAACTGGATGGCACATTTGGTGGTGGACACGCACCAAGGCATGTTCAGCACAGCACTGAACCGAAACCACCCATGTAAACCATTGGGGAAAAACGATTGTAACAAAATCTGGTCGCGGAGGCCGAAAGCGCTCACATGCCAGTCACGTGCTCCATCGGTTCCTTAAAAACGGTTTTGCGTCGCCATCCAGCCTTAATTTAAGTGTATCTAAAAAGCATCGCTGAGTGCTATTGGTCCGTTCGCCGACAAACCAAACGATTTCAACCAATGGGGGCAGGCCGCAGGACAGTCTGCGGAGATCTCGGCCGTGAGGTCTGGTTCTGCTCAGCACGTAGTTTTAGCCTCCATTAAAAAGTGCACGGTTGTGAAAAGCCAATGCATGTGTGCACTTCTCACGACACGAATGTCGATGTTTTGTGACGCTTGCACAAGCGCAGGACGCGCAGCGTTGGACGTGCCAACCTTGAAGGTATGTATCTGGGTAGGCTAGCCCGCACTGCACGGCATGACGCCGAGCTGTCAGGCTGGCTCGCATGGTTCAGCCTCTTACCACCCTAAAAAGCTCGCGGTTCCGGTACCACCTGCCCGCCTGGCTCGGCTTAAATGCTATACAGCGCCGCGTGACATTGGTGTTAACTGATAACTTTTAGAAGTGTGATGAACTGCATACCAATCATCAGCCTATCCGTGTCACAGCACGACGTGGACACCTCAGGAGCGTGATTTCCCAGAGTGAGTTGGGGTGCAGCCCCGCAATGTTATGAAACATGCTACCAAAAATCGTCAACAAACGGGCTTCTCCCCGGATTTGACCCAATTTCGTCTCAAAGTTAGGGTGGGGGCTGTAGCCCAAGTTGGGACGGGAGGACTACAGCCCTCAACTGAATGGGAAACTACACCCTGGGATACCCGCCGCAGCGAGGAGCTCTGTTTCCTTGCGTTATTTGTCATTCATGGCACCTACATTATAGATGTCGCCATCCTTCAAATGATAATGGATTGAGGGACCAAAGCCTCTGTCCTCGGCATCACCGTGTCCGTATGAACTCGCCGTCAAGTGTTGTCGTTCGTGCACCTGTCAATAAAGGCCACCGCAACGCCTTGTACCGTCCGCCCAGCGGAGCCGGAGCCGGAGCCGGAGCCGAGCGCAGCGGCGGACGGCCGCCCTCCACCGCCGGTCCGACGACGACCGGACTGGGGTGTTCGGCGTCATCAGGGCGTGTTCGGCGTCATCAGGCGTCTCGCGACAGCCCGATGAATCGCCCCTGTCACTGGCCGCAATGTCCGCCGTTTGTACCGCCGATATGGACAGGGGCAGGCGCCACTACGCCGATCAGAGGGGCGGCAGGGCGAACGCGGAGGGAGGGGGGGGGGGGGGGGGCGGGGAGGGCGTGCGCTCCGCTCACCTGCCCGTTCTGACCGCCGCGATCAGGATCCTGCCCGCTGCCACCAAGAGATCCGGAGCGCTGCTGAGCGACGCAGTGCTGACTACCGTCGCGGTCAGTATGTGACTTGGCAGCGGAGTGAACGACGCGCTGCTGTGAGCCTGCATCTTTTAAATATTCGGATACAGGATAATGGCAGTCGTTCATGGCGACTTCCGCTGGCGTCAGCTATTTGATACAGCTGCATTTTTAATGACATGATCAGCAGAAATTATTGTATTTCGCGGAAGCGAAACGAAGTATTTAAGCCGGGCCATTTCGCTATTTTGAACAGCTGTTTCGACCCAACAGTCACACAGATTCGGATGCCAGGGAGTCCAACAGTAGCTCAGTGATCCACAGGTGTCGCTTCATACGCGAACGTGGGGCTTTGTGAGCGCCGTGTATCTGCCACGGCAACGCTTCAGCTGCGTGGGGCCGGCATACCACGATCGCCGTCATGATCAGTGGGCGTTGATCAGAGCAGGCTGTGTGAAGCAAGCACTGGTCACCTGCTATCCAGTCGACCGACGGCCGACCGATGGCCTATGACCGACCGATGGCCTATGGCCGACCGATGGCCTATGACCGACCGATAGCCTATGACCGATCGATGGCCTATGGCCGACCGATGACCTACGGCCGACCGATGGCCTATCGCCGACCGATGGCCTATGGCCGACCGATGGCTGGGAGTAATAAGACAAGCGGGCGCAATCCAGCTTGTTATCTGACGCGAGAACGTCCGTCGATGTCTGTTTAGATGTACGGGCGAGCCAGTATGAGTCAAGTGGCGGCTGCGTAATAGAGGCCTGCCTTTCAGCATCTGAAGTGGCAGTACCGACTTCACAAGTCGCAGTGGTGACCACGCTTTGCACTCTCTCCATGTGCGGGCAGTCTCAGTGGCCAAGCCGAGGTCGTAGTCCTGCTTCAAAAGGACTGACTCGTACCGCACGTCAGAAACGCACGCTCTGCGCGTGTTTAATTTTACGACTGAAGAGTTTTCGTTCTCCTTTGTACTATCAGTTTATGGAAGTGTACGATGAGATGTACGTCTTGATGTTTTGCCATCGCAAGGTGCAGTCGGCATGAAGGTGGAAGAAATAAGGCTCGCAAAATTTTCGTTTTATTTGCCCATCGTATCAATGCACCGTGCATCAATGGGAATAACTGCTGATGATTTCAGAGTCCACCACATGCAAATGGTTTCGTGCTGTTTCGCGCTGTTTCGTGCTGTCTCGAATGCCTTCGACGCCTCATATGCGCCCTATTATGGTCTCAACACAAAAGGTTGCGGCAGAGGTAGCACAACAGAGTTTACACCAACGAATCTTCAGCGATACATACCCGCTGGCTCGCCAACCCTTCACGCCCATCCCCTTACCTTTTTCTCAAAAGCAGGCTGAGGAAGGCAATAAGTATCCACTGTGACGTCATAGCGGCGGCCGGCCTGCGGACTCAGCGTGGGCTGTTCACCAGCACATGGGCGCGAGGCGGACAGCGAGACTGCCTGGCGGCGTGCGCCGCGTCACTGTCGCGGCGACACGCGGTGTGCCGCTACCTCGGCATGGGCCCTGTCGCCGCGACACGGGCCCATCGCGCCGCCGGCGCCCGTTAACGCGGTCCGACTTTCGGGCGGAAACAACCACGGAACCGCCGCGGCCGCCGTCCGCAATCGATTGAACCGCGCCGTTCCGATCGCGGCCGCCAGGGCGGCGCCACTGCGAGCTGTTAGTTGCAAGGTGCAATCACAGAGGGCGGACTGGAGGAGTGTTGAGTGGTCGGGCACGAGTTCCAGCAAATCGAGACCGTTTGGTACTGGTCGTTTCCAATGTCTGGCAGGGCTATATCATCCAGGAGGCAGCTTTCAAGGACCGAGGCTTAACTGCCGGCTTGGTTGGTAAATTGCATGCCCTGGATAACGCTCAAGGCAAACGCAGGGACGACGTTTTGCGATGGCCGGCAAGCGCACGGCCAAAAACGCAACGCTGGCAGCGTCCTGAAATTTGGGAGTGATGGGCTTCTCAGAGTCTAGCTGTTCCATACAACGCCAGTGGCATAATGTCAGTGAGCTGGTAGTAGTGTCCCCGGTGCCTTGGTTTCTACGCACATAAATGTTCTATTGTGTGCCTCACAATAACGCATCAATAAACCAGACAGGACGTTCGCCAACTACAGACGCAAAAGCATTTCGGTTTAGCTGTGCGTAACGGCAAATTGTCCGGTGAGTTTTGATGGTCATGAAAGATTACAAATGTCGTCGACCTCACACACTGTCTATTGCATTTGTTCACGTCCAACCTATACTTCATTACAAAGAGATACACACATTTTTCCTGTAGATCCATGCTAATAGCGTTTTAACCAGGATTTTTGTAACCCAGAGTCTATGGCGCAGAATGCTCAGACCACTGTTCAGAGCACTGTGTGTCTGCCGCAGGTGTTTGCTGGATTTAGAAGTGGCTAGGGTTAGTATCAAAATTGGTAGGAAAGCTGGTTGGCGAGCAATTTGTACACGCACGTTGCCGTGTTTTCTTTTAAGAGGGGCATTTTTAACCCAAGGCTTGCAACTGCTTTAAAGAAAATCGTATACGTTTCATTCCAAGTATTTTCTGGTAATGTCGCATAGCTTTCTGCCTCCAATTTTTAGTGCTACTTAGACCGTGTGCATGATCATCCATCCTATGGACCCTCCTGCGATTCATCACTGTAGTATGGGAATCCCGAGAAAAGCTTATTTTTTTCTTCCTCAAGGCATGTGTGGTAGTATCATCCGAGATTTCTTGTGGAAATACCAGGGAAAAGTGGGAGAGAAAGGAAACAATGACGATTAACGGATAGTGAGAGTTGAGCAGATGTTCCATACGCGGCAGAATATTGACTAAAACGGATCAAGAGGGGACCTTTTCCGAGGAAGGAAGCTGCTGCATCTTCGGTTAAGTCTGTCAAGTAACGTGGTACACGTGCGTTACATTTTGCAATTTCTATGAATATACAACATTTCTACAACAATATATAAAACATGTGGCATTACGGAGTAAGGGACACAACAAAAAATGTTGAATCGAAAATCTATTTGATGCGCCGCACTCCCACCCCCCTTCTTGCATGGCGTCACGAAAATTCACGGTAATTAGTATTTTCGCCTGTTCATCCTGATATTTTGACTGTCTAAATTTCTTTACCTTTTTATGTAGCATTCAGGTAAAAGTTCGTAGAGCATAAATGTATGTGTATATGTATATCTGAAGCTATGGTATATATGCATATGAATTACCGAGGGAACCGCGTGACACTGGTGCCCCTCTTGAACCCCCCCCCCCCCCCCCGGTGTCCAAATAATACTGCCATTGGGTGTCGGGCCCGGTAGCTTTGGAAAATGAACATAAGCCGTACAGAAGTCAGTAAACATTGCACCATTGTACCTTTTCGTAGCTCGCGGTGTCTCGAGCAAACCCTATTGGTCGAGCTGACAGCTGCCACACAGCTATGCACAGCTGACCATATCAGACTTTCGCTCATGTCTTCGGTTACCAACAGACAGAGCAGCCGTGCCTTTTCCTTCAATGGCGATTGTCAGCATGCCGATGTACCGATCATAGAACGTGAACTGCACACTAGCGCGGAAGGTCTATGAGAGCTTTCAGGAGCAGAACTACAACATGATAAGATGTTTAGCAATGGCCTTGCACTTTGGATATGATGGTGAAAGAACAGACTCAAAGTGAAATGTTCTAGACCTCTGCCTAATACTGGCCGAACGCCTTCTGCAACGGCTTCTACGCCTCATCTGTGCTGGGCTACGCTGGAGAGTTGGGCTCGCTGGCACGACCGCCGTGACCCTAGTGCTGTGTCATTGGGAGGGAGGGGGGGGGGGCAGAGCGGACGACACGAAGCCCGTCAGCCGTGCTGCACGGTGCCGTCTCGGCGGCCGACACGCACGCCAGCGCGGCAGCATCGCTGCTGTATGGCCCGACGGGGGCGCGGTCACAGGGGACTTACGCTGGGCAAGATGCGCCGTGTACTGTCCACACTGGCCGTGTGCCGTCCACACCGGCCGTGTTCTGTCCACACTGGCCGTGTGCTGTCCACACCGGCCGTGTACTGTCCACACCGGCCGTGTGCCGTCCACACTGGCCGTGTGCTGTCCACATTGGTCGTGTACTGTCCACACCGGCCGTGTACTGCCACACCGACCGTGTGCTGTCCTCATTGGTCGTGTACTGTCCACACCGGCCGTGTACTGTCCACACTGACCGTGTGCTGTCCACATTGGTCGTGTATCGTCCATACCGGCCGTGTACTGTCCACACCGGCCGTGTACTGTCCACACCAACCGTGTGCTGTCCACACTGGCCGCATGCTGTCCACATTGGTCGTGTACTGTCCACACCGGCCGTGTGCTGTCCACACCGGCCGTGCACTGTGCACACCGGCCGTGTGCCGTCCACTCCGGCCGTGCACTGTGCATACCGGCTGTGTGATGTCCACTACGGCCGTGTGATGTCCACACTGGCCGTGTGCAGTCTATATTGGTCGTGTACTGTCCACACCGACCGTGTAATGTCCACACCGGCCGTGTGCCGTCCACTGCGGCCGTGTACCGTCCACACGGGCCGTGTGCCGTTCACTGCAGTCGTGTACTGTCCACAACGGTCGTGTATTGTCCACACCGGCTGTGTGACGTCCACTCCGGTCGTGCGCTGTGCATACCGGCCGTGTAATGTCCACTACGGCCGTGTGATGTCCACTACGGCCGTGCACTGTGCACTGCGGTCGTGTGTTGTCCACTGCGGTCGTGTAATGTCCACTACGGCCGTGTGATGTCCACTACGGCCGTGCACTGAACACTGCGGTCGTGTGTTGTCCACTGCGGTCGTGTAATGTCCACTACGGCCGTGTGATGTCCACTACGGCCGTGCACTGAACACTGCGGTCGTGTGTTGTCCACTGCGGTCGCGTGTTGTCCACTACGGCCGCGTGCTGTTCACTACGGCCGTGTAGTGTCGGTGCACCTCGTTTTCATTACGCGAAGTGATGGGATAGTGTCGAAATGCGCACCACCCCCTGCTGTTTCCGAACAAAAAGATAAAACCCCGTGAAAAGAAAACATGGATCGATCACAAGGAGATCCCGTGAGTGGTAGTACGTTTGATGTGGCTTTGTCAATCAGTAGCCTCATCATTCCAGGTCAAAGGTCAAATTTAATGTCCAGGTCAATGGCTCACCAGCTCAGGCTATGGTCCCCACTCGCTGACTAAGACAAATGCGCATGCCCATGTTTTTGGCATCGCACATCAGATCGTATCGCCTGACTTTGTCATTACATCTGTTTTAAACATTTAGCTCGATTTTTTTTTGAATGAATGGTTTTCTGGGATCAGAGCTCACGCTAACCAGTGCTTGTTGTGTGGGCCGTGACCCCCACCATCCGATCACGCAATTCCAGGCCGACAGCAGAGTTTGGTGGCCACAGTTCAACGTGCCGCGTTACTCGGCACAGTCCGTTCTGCCCCCTGACATCTACTGAACTTAAGCGCGGCCGCTGTCACCGGCCGCAGGCCATACCATAATTTAAGTACGGTGCAGCGGAGATCATACAAATGTTATAAAAATGGACCTAGAATATGCTTTCGACCTATTTCGGATGGTAAGACCGTTTTGTCACAGCGGCTGATCACAACCTTTTGGATTTGTCCGCCATAAAGCTGATGAGCCTTTCGAAGAAGTGGCTCTGCTGCTTCCTCACGGCCGCGGACACGCAATAAGAAGTGGCTCTGCTGCATCCTCACGGCCGCGGACACGCAATAAGTGTCTGCCTGCCAAATGTTAACAATGTGAGTTCAAAATTATCATGCCCATACAGAACAGCCTTCAATATATCAGGAGGCACTGGTTAAACGATACCATTGGACAGGCATTGACTGCATTGTCGATAAGAGCAATGACAGTATTTGCAATGTTTGCGATACGGGTTTTGACAATACAACCAATGTTTGCTGACTAACGGCGTTTAGCCGATAACTTGTGGTGAAGCAAAGGCCCATAACTGCCAGCATACAAAATACCAAAGGCCTGTATTTACCAGCATACAAAATACCAAAGGCCTGTAACTGTCAGCATACAAAACCCGGACTCATAATACCAAATAACCAGGAGCCCAAAGTCTTGCATTATTACATCAAACACTAAACTTCAGTTCAGAAACACGCTGGTGAGTGCTAGTGCAGTAGAGGGCCGGCTTCAGGCACCAATGTTCGTTTGACCGGGGCATTTCTCGTCCCATGCGGTCCTTGAATGCAAAAGTTGAAACAGCCTCGGGCCACTGTGTCCTTCTGCCCGCCGACGCCAAGAAGCTGATTGTAAGCGGGGCCGAGGTCGCAGCGCTCGGGGACCGAGACAGCCTGCGTCAACCAAGAACTTTGAAACGTTTAATTTAAAGTCAAGAATGGTACGATCAGCGCTAGAAACCCAAACGCGCTCAGCTGGAGGGCTGATTTGCCGATAATCGACTCGACTTATCGATAAGTTATATTGGTTTATCTGAGAGATTATCTATGTCATATCACGCTACTTTAGATTTGTTAATGATGTCATGTCTTTTGCTGTGAATTTGCTTTGAAACGAGCCATTTAAGGTCAAGTAATTTTTGTACTTTAAGT